TCGGATGCAGTACACAAATGCGCTTACGGTGCAAGAATAATGATAAGAAGAACATTCATATTAGGTTACAATTAATTTTAGTTATTCAACTCCATATCATTTCCTGTTCTAAATCCCAGAGCGCTATCTTTCCGACGACAGGGAGGTGATGCTCTTTTATATCTATTTATTTCATTTATAACCCATTTATTTTATTATATTTCCTTTTTTACCACCCGACGTAGGACCGTAGCTAGATTCCTATTGGCGCCTTTTGTGAGTGTAATATTGCGCCCCTCGTTAATTTACAATGACATAGTAGGTACCTACGAAACATCTAAATCTATCTAACATCTAATCTATAGTAGGGTACGAAACATCTAACCGTTGAAATGTTATTTAAATGTAAATGGCAATGGAATGAAGATTTATTTATGTCTTATTAAAATTATTAACTTCCAATCACTTCAATGTATTTTTTATGGCAGAATAAGCGCGTATATACTCAAATTTTTTCTTTCATTTTCATAAATGAATGCACGCTAGTGTAAGAATGTTAATCTCTTTAGATTTTATCTCTCAAAGACACTCTTGGAGCTCAGACTATAAAGTGCTCTGACCTATTGTATTATGTACCTTATTTATTAACAAGTTGGCAAACATTACAATGATTAAATTTATCAGCACATATTCATCTGACATCAGATTCTTACCCTACTCTATAAAATCGTTGATATAATTCATTAGCAAGTTATTCAATCGAGTTAATTTAAATTTAAATATTTATGGAGTTTCCACGTTTTCGCGATTGCTATTCACTGGAAACGAAACTATTTTTCAGGATGTAAAATCTGTTATTACTTTATTCGATTGAACTAAATGCCTCTAGAGATTACAGCTTTATGGTTTTATTACACGCCCTTCTAGTAATCCACTGGCTACGGCTCTGACTTAACCCATCAAGGCGTTCTCACAAAATGACTCTATTTAATAAAAAATACCATTTTTTATTTTCATTCTTTAAAATATGGTAATTACGTGGAGACAGTTTGGTGTTGGTATGTTGTTGTGATATGTTTGTTGGTAGTTTCCTGTTTTAAAGGTTTTGATAAATAGAACATAAATTAAAGTTAGTTTACATGTTTAACGTTTTTCTTTAGGACCCTGAAGTGGCATTGATTATACTTGATTTCTCAAACAAAATCTACTTTTCCTAATCTTTACAGGGCTCTGCGTTTGCTGAATGCATCGGATTCGTATTTGTTCCGAACTATGCAAATCTAGAAAACTTGGACCCACTTCGGATGTCGCTTGTGTACTAAGTCCGATTTCAATCCGAGAAAAACTAATATCGCTTGTATACCTAGAGATTAAAATGATCGCTGTGACATTTCGGACCGTCATCGTCATTCGGCCATGGTCCGCAAATGCTCTAGTCTGTTAATTTTAAAACATCTTAATTGCGTGTCAGTGGAGTTTATCATATATTAGATAATTACTGTATTTTTTTAAGTTTATTCAATGTCACGATATTTGATCAACATGATATTCAATTATTTTTGTGAAATTACTCCACTAGTTTGTTATAATTATTAATACAAAGATCCAACACTCAGAAAAAACATCCTTCTATCCGGCCGGATTCGAACAGACGTCTTCTATAGCGTCTTCCGTAGCGCCATCTGTGACAAAGGTATGTAAGCTTTTCTGCAAGAAAGTCGTTGCAAATCAAAAAACAAAGATCTGCAATAAGCACATAGAAAAATTCGTAAGGTTGACAAAGCTGACACGATGTGCTGGAGACGTTGATTCAAATCCAGTCGGATTGAAGAATTTCTTTCTAAGTATTGGATGTTGGTATTAATAATTATTACAAATTTCACAAAAATAATTGAATATCTTGGTAGTCAAGCACCGTGATGTTCAATATACTTTAAAAAAATACCAAATAGTAATCTAAACAGTGTCAGATAGTACAAAAAAAACTTTGATAAATTTATTATGTGTTGTAAAAAGTTTCAAAAGTTCTTAGGTTTTCGCGATTGTTACACATAGGAAATGAAACTATTTTTCCAGATTTAAACAGCGTATATTTGTTTTTTGGTCACGTCCCATGGTCACGGTGACCATGGGACCTGTAAAGGGCCCGAAACGTCGGTTTGTTTGGAAAACAAATATACGCGATTTAAATCCGGAAAAATAGTTTCATTTCCTCTATGTAACAATAGTTATTGTTAATGACGTTAGTAATATATTTCTGAGTGGTTGTTAGTATTTTTCGAATAACCCTACCTATATTCATACGGCGTAATAAAGCCATAATCTGCAAAATGACAACTTTCCATGAGAGAAGGTTAAAGATTCTATAAACGAAATTAGTCCATACCTTTCAATGCATATTAGAAGAGTTATAAAATTTCACATATATGTAATTTGTTTAGTGTATTTCGTATTATTATTATTAGTATTTATAATATTCATGTGATAAAACCACTTTTAAACCACGTAGGTACGATCACAATCCGGCTATTATTAATTAAATACAATGTTTACAATTTAGAAAGAACTATAATAAACGGGTTGCAAAAACAAATATTAATCACAACACATAACATGAACAAAACTGCAAACAAAACTAAAAAGCATTGCAAGTCAATCCGCCACCATAAATCATGCAAACATATTGTTACTAACTCTCTATTACAAACAAAACCAGTGGAACTGATTTCACAGAAAAAAACTCAATAATACGTTTGATCAAAAAGCGACATCACCGTTAGCTTGAGCTATAAGAGGTTCTACAATCTCTCACTAGATGTCACTAGCGGCGCAGAATGCCGAAAAATCCAGTACAAAGACCTATAACAACAACACATAGGAGAATTTCGACAACTCCATAACGTGGCCCGTAGCTCAGTTGATAAGAGCAGCGCTACTGTACAGCATTTTCACGGGTTCAAGTCCCATCGGGTCGAAGAAATTTTTCTGTTCGTTTGATCTTTGTATTAATAAAGCATAACAAAACTATTACAAATTATTGAAACATTAACACATTTAAAACTACAGAATTGATTATTTTGATTCGTTAGTAACAAATTTTCAAAAAGGTTCTATTTCTGGTTTGACAGTATTGGTTTCTGTTTACCTGCGCACATCGAGTATATCACCCAGAAATAAAGACGAAATAAGGGCCATCCATCCTTGGCAACTCAAAAGGGTCTTATATCACTTTTAAATATTAACTCTCGTTTGCGCTGAAATCACAAATTAGAAAGCTGAAATGGTCAATCTGTATATTCCAAAAATATTCTGTATTTATTGTAATAAAGATAATAAATATCTCTAACTATGGTGGGCTGTTCCGTTCGGTGGTGTGAGAAAAACAGGAAAACATCAAATTACAAAACAAACGGAATCACATTTCATCGGTAATTAAATATTAAATATGTAATTTTTCAATTTTCGTCCATTATAGCAAAGCTCTAGTTAAACTAGTCGAATTGAAGTGAAACAATTGACGCCACCCGTCAATTGTTTCCAGTTCGGGCTGGCCAATCGGAACGTAGTTGTCGCCATAATGATTTGGCAGAATACTTTTCAAACAAATTATTTTTCGTCTCTGTTTCTGGTTATATACTCGATGCCTGAGCATCAAGTATGTTGGAAAGTAGTTTACCCCTAAAAATTTGCTTTTGTGGCTCTCACAATGGTATTTACATAGCTGCTATTTTTTTATGATACTAAGTGACGGGACTAACAAGTCGTGCGCCTGATGGTAAGCGGCACGCCTGTCCATAACAGTTGCAGCGCCACTCAGAGCTTTAAATCACAAATATCTGAGGGGCACTGCCACTGTGTCCGTCACCCTGAGACATAAGTTGAAAAGTCCCATGTGCCTGTTATTTCACTAGCACCCTACCTTCAAAATCAGACCCGGTAATACTCACATTAAAGCTTGGCGGCAGAAATAGGCAAGGTGGAAGTATTTCCCTGGACGAACTCTTAGCTACATAGTGATATTTACATAATCTTGCATATGTACACATTTCAGGCATCTTGGCTGTCTAGTTAATTGCTAAGAAAGAGTCTTCAAAAAAAAAACAATGTACGACACACTTTATTAAAGACTAACTATTACAAAAAACTTGCACATTACGAGTATATGTATATGGATTTGAAGTGAACAAAACCAGGGCTCCGTTCCTCGCTCGAGTCTACGCGATAAGTGCCTACCGCTGAGTGTATCGCCGACAGTGCAAGCGCCCAGACAAGTCTTTTATTTACATTACAATTCTTATGCAACCCCAGCATTCGGTTCCGCACGACTGCACACGGCGGATAGCGTTACTTTCACCTCTCTGAGCGTGTACTTAGATTCATTTTTCTTCGTAGTGAGCTCCTGGTGTCATTAGTCAGATTTAGTTAGCTATTTATTATATTTAGTGTGCACGCGTCATTATTAGCGTATACAGGTATTTTCGATTTTGTTTGAGAGTGGTATAACTGTTACGTAATCTGTGACAAAACGCTTGCGTGTTTTATTTCGATGACCATGCCATCTATTAACATTTCGTAGTAAAGAGTTCTTTGTCATCAAAATCAAATATATTATAGATTTTAAATATAATGTTCCCTTTTTGTTTTTAAATAGAAGAGAAACCCGAAAATTTTTACGTTTCCATAATGGTAACGCAAAATTCAACTTTTCGTCGTAAAGACCACAATAGCAAAGTTTTTGCGGGGGAATAAATTTTTTTCGTGTTTTTTTCTTAGAACCAATTTAAAAAATTATATTAATAATAATCTTTTGACTAATATAATATTAATAAGCCAGAAATAAAAATCGCCTTTCATGGTGATAACTGATTATTTAAGATTATTTTAATTATCTTAAAAAAAAAACTACACAACAGCGCCAAATTTGTGAAACAACGAATCTACTCATATTTTTAATGCTCTAGACAACATTTATACAGCCTAAGGAAAATTTTAATGCTCCAAACAGAAGTAATTTAGCCTACCTTTCGTCGCAGCGGCAATGCATTAGTGTATTAACCCTCCAGTTGAAAAGGCCGTACTTCTTCTCCATTCCGCCTATCCAGAAAGGACATCTTAAATCGTGCACCCTGCAGCATCTATCTGTTTTCGTATAACCACCTAATTGAGAATATCTTGTAGCTGAAAATCCCTTGCCGCACCATTTTGTTCCTGGCACTCTGAGGAGTTCCATTGCGTCTCGTTTCGGTCTGTCAATTTATTTTTTAATTTTATGCTCTATGTTTTTGATTTTTTTTCTTCAACCAAATGAATGCAATGACCTCTTTGTTTTTTTTATACTAGGACGAAGTTTAAAAAGGTAATACAAAATTGGTATTAAAAAAACAGACCACCACGAAGTGTGTTTTATGTTTAAGAAAATCGTAAATGTGTTGTTATTCGTTGTAAATCCATCATAGATTATTTAAATAGTGTTGTGACCATACTTGTTACACAGTTGAAAACGAAATTTTGACCGAAAGTGTACTATTGAATATAACCGAAACAAAACTTTCGCTATGAAAAAAATTTAAAATTTTAGATTTCGCAATGAAATGGTTTTCAACCACATCTCCCGATTAACTGCCATTTCGAGCAAATTTTCCAGAACAATGTATTTTTTTATTAATGTTAAAAAGGCCCCTCAAGCCGAGGCTATGGCTTCGAATCCGGCCTTGCACCTCTGAATTTCTCGCAATTTATATGCGAAATTTAATATGAATTTTACCATGAGTTTTCCGGTGAAGGAAAACACGTCGAAGAAGGTTCACAACTCTCGGAAAACGTGTGATACTCGCTGAGAGAAGACCCTTGCCTAGCAGTGGGACTTAATAAATGGATTAATGATTAATTTATTGTCGATTTGACACTTAACGTCCGGAACTGTAGCTAGTCTTTTTTAAATTTATTATATGATCGAAATACAGTCTTTCAATCAAAAGCATACTATTTATAACAAAAAAGAAAGACGGCGGCTCAGAAAAAATTCTAAATAATAGGTTATTTGCGTAAATGGTTTATTCCCAGTAATTCCATGTACTTAGTTCCACATGGGACAATTGTAACCCAAAAGTTCCATGCATGGAATACTGTGATTATTTATTTTATAACAATATTTTTTTTCTACGATATTTAAAACTGGCTACTTACAATTTGATTTTAATTTCAATATTACTTTTACAAGAACTAGTGTTAAGACTATTATAATTTTAACTTATTACATTATAGTTTTTCTCTGTCTATTATATCCGGTAAGAGATTAAAAAAGTCGATATAATAATACTGAATCCAAACACCCATCACTACGCTAAAATAAAAATGTACAAAAGATATACGATCTAGCGCCCGAAGATCTATAGATCATTGTGTTTTATCGCTTTATTGACGCGCAATGAATCGGGGAGAGAGGTGCTAAATAATTTGCGTTTACGGCTAAGTACATTCAGTGCAGTTTATAACCTCGTTATGATTAAATTGGAAACTCGGGTGCAGTAAGTAATATCCCAGCGGGACCCATCGTACCACTAAGCAAACCACCGGTAGTGTGGTGGGTATTTTTAAGTCCCTGCTGTACTACCAAATCGTAGTGTGATAATAGTATGGTAACCATGGGTAAAACCACAGAACAATAAATACAGTAGAACTGGTTGGTTAGCGTCTGACGTGTCAACTACGTGTATACATAAGGTCTCGAAAGACCTATCTGAGGTCAGTCCGCCATTTTCGCTTTGTATAGTATAGTTGTGTCATTCTTTCGTGCAAATTCTCTAAAAACCTAGAAAAATGCCTTATTGTGCTGTTTGGAGTGTAAAAATGATAACCGCACCAAAAATATTACTCGGGGTGGTATTTTATATCATCGGAAAGCTTTCATTTCGTCAGATATTTCAATATAATATCAAAACGTCGTCATTTTCAATAATAGGTATTGATGGTATTGAACTTTCAACGATATGCCAATAGGGTTGTAGTGTATTGACATAATGTACCATAGACAATATACTCGTATGTCACACTGCGGCCCGCCGTTCCCGCCATAACGACACGAGACAGTGGCGTGAGCGGGCGTGTATCGCACGTGTACGTGAAGCAACAAACGTTGTTTTATTGAGCAAACAAAACAAAACAAAAAAAAGGCTGTTGTCTATAAGCAACTGTTGAGGTAGCACAACACAAGAGAAGTAGTTTGGTTTAACAAACAGTAACCGAAAAAATAATTAAAAAAAAACAAATAAACAAACTGTATAAATGACAGTTTGACTAAATGTTGAACGGTATCACAAATATAGTATCAAGAGGTAGTGTAGAGAAATCTGAACGGTACCTACGAGGGGAATCGATTTCATTACGATTAGCCCCAACGACAATAAATATATTGTCAAGAGGTAGTTTAGAGAAATCTGAACGGTACCTACAAGGGGGAGTAGCCCCAAAGACAATAAATATATTGTCAAGAGGTAGGTAGTGTAGAGAAATCTGAACGGTACCTACATGGGGAATCGATTTTATTACGATTAGCCCCAACGACAATAAATATTGTCAAGAGGTAGTTTAGAGAAATCTGAACGGTACCTACAAGGGAATTACTTTCATTACAGATAACCCCAACAAAATGTCGCAAATAACTCCGTTGGAGTCTTTGGGCTATGAGGGCGAGCCAACTTCAATTAATTCAAAATAGCACAAGGATGTCTTAGCTCAAAGTCCGTATTAAAGTTTATCGTATTCATGAGAACTGGCTGATCAAATCATATAACCCACATGATGATACCTTCAAGTGTTTTAATTCACATAATCATTTCATATTGGTGTGAAGTGACATGTAATAATATACCTAAATAAGATCGCGTAGTTACTTTGCAAGTACCTAGGTATCCATCATCGCTTAAGTGGCAATTATTGACATATTATATAATTTCATTTACACCTCGTTTCAATAAATAAAGCGATTAGTGGATATTTCATATTGGAAAAAAGTAATATTGTATTTCTTGTGTTGGATAGATATATATAGATATTATTTAAGTGGTAAGGTGGTCTAGTGGAATTTCTATTCTAATGTCTCTAAGTAGAACAACTGGGGTAGTCTAAATAAATACGTTTACCCCGAGTAACCTGCACTTACTACCTACCTATAACTTCGCGCAAGCTGGTTTAGCGTCTGATCGTTTAATTGATATTATAATGACAGGCAACACTAATTAATTATTTATTCATTCATTCAATGATTGATCAATAATGTGAATGCATATTAATAACGTAATGTATTTGTAGGTAAATGTGAGTTTGTATTACATATTAGCCGAATATCTTTTGTCGTGGACAATCGATGATAATAGTTCTGTTTATTAGGTTGTTGTACCCTACCAAGGCACATGTTTAAGACCCGAAAAAATTGTTGAATGTACGTCACAGTCTACCACATAATTGGAATAAATACATTTTACTTATATTTGGCCATTATAGAAATAACAAAGTTATTTCGCAGTTATGTATAGCAACCTGTATATGCAATAATTACTGATCATTCAAGTGGCTACAACCCGATCGCATTATATTGCGAGGCGCATTAAATCGCGAGGACCATTACATTGCGAGACACATTAAATTACGAGGCGCATTCAATTGCGAAGTCATTACATTAACTACCTCCGTGGCCAAACGGCTACCGTGCTGGTCTGATATGAGCCGGGTTCGATTCCCGGGACGGGTTATCTATTTAGATAGACGAGTTGGCAACTTTCAGTCGTGCTTCTCACTCCAAGTTGTACTAAAAGCAGTGAAAGAAAAATTCCTACTAAATAAAAAACGGTTGAACTATCAACGCTAGTCTCATCCAGGTATGTATGTAGATTAACAATAAAGGCGAAGTAATAATGGTTAAGAGCTGTAAAACTTGCACTTTATGTTCAGGACCTAGCCTTCGTGTGGCTGCGAGAAGACGCGAATTCCAACGCAATTATTGTAATTATTGATTTTCCAGGTTTACCGCCAAGCACCCATTAAGTATATGTATATTTCTCGTAATTGACTGTTACAGCCGCATTGGTACCTAGTCAGTAAATCACTATTACTTTGAATTTAAGTCCCTCTACTCGGGTTTGGCATGACTCTTATAATTGGATGCCCTACTGGCCATAGCAGAACGAGGAGAGGTCGGGAAAACAAAACCGCGACGAATGAAGACGTTTTAAAATAAGTCAGTGCCGAAAGTCCGGCTGGAAGTACGATCTTCTATGTTACCTTTCGATGTACAATAGCGCGCCATACGATACGATTATATAAGTAAAAGAGGAAACATACATACGAAAAAAGGACTAGACAAGTCAAGAATTAAGAAGGAGAAAAGGAAATAGAGGGACTATGGCAAATTCATAATGAAGAAGATGGTCAAGGTGATAACGTCGAAACTGAAACAATGAAGAACAATGTAAAATACTTAGGTTATAATTACTAGACTGTATCAGTTAGTAATCATTATAAAAGTAAAACATACATGTTATAAAATTTTTTATTAATTTTATTGAAAGGGAGAGATGTAGTGTATTGACATAATGTACCATGGACAATAGATAATATATGTCACACTGCGGCCCGCCGTTCCCGCCATGACGACACGAGACAGTGGCGTGAGCGAGCGTGTATCGCACGTGTACGTGAAGCAACAAACGTTGTTTTATTGAGCTAACCCCCAACAAACGCCAAAAAGGGTAAAGTTTCAATTACCCAGAATTCCTTTAAATTTTATTATTTTTTATTATAATGAAAATATGTTTACTAAAAAAAATACTTCGTCTTTTAAACAAGTATAGGTCGGAATATTCGGATGCATAATTTTTTATTTCCCGATCTTATAGACTATCAGGGTTCAACTTACAATGCTGCGGAATGTAATGGAAGCAAATTTTCGTAACAAAATCGCATAAGGCATAATGAGAACTTTAAGTGAATTTTGTAATGTTTAAACTTGGAATCATACATTTTTCTATCGCTAGAATAATCCTCATCGATAACCTTCTTGAACTATACAAAACCCTTGAAAACATCCCGCTTTCTTTACCAGATCTCCTGAAAAATCGAGAATGTTATCCAATTTTATATTATTTTGTAAGAAGCACTATCAAAGACATTTAATTCTTGTAATGAAATACAAGAAAGAGATTATTCTCAGTCTTGGCTGTATGACGCATTAGTGCCTTTGCATTTTCCAATGGAAAAACAGTACCAAAAAAATTTACTCTACACTGACAAAAAAACTCTTGACAAATTTAACTTGGGTTGTTTAAAAACAAAACGTTGCTGGGCACCCAACGAGGCAGGTGTGAAGAACATTTTTTATCAATGCCCATTATTATTTAGACTAGTTCTCCCCCCTTAAAATTTCAATAGGTCATTGGATTACGTAAAAGTATTTATCTGGCCAATTATAATAAAGTTTGCAAACTTCCTATTGACACGTATTCTTTATAAAACATTAAGTATATTATACCTATTAATACTTACTGCTACTTAGTAGGTAATAGCAGATGAAAAAAAACATAATTGCTTGATTTTATTTTATATTAATACAGTATATTTCTCATTAAGCATCAATTTTCGATTGTGAAATTGATAATTCCATTCTTGTACTCTTAACTAGAAATGTTTGCAATCTCTCCCTTCAAATCAAAACTATCATCAGGGAAGACAGTCTTATAAATAATTAATTACTGTGTTACATTTTATGGTGGCTTCAAAAAACTTTGAAATTTCTGTTGATTAAAAATTTATCATAGGCATAAAAAATTCAAGGTTAGTATTATCCTAATCGAATTTAGCCAAATCGAATTTCGGAAAAAATATTGAAATTGTGATAAAATTGTGCTCACTTTCTGTTAATCTAATATTTCTGATGTATTTTATTTGGTGCGATAAAGAACATATATATATATATATACTTAGAATAATAACGCATAGAAACCTAGCCCGCACACGCTAAGTGAGGCAAGTTAGAGGGTTCCAAACGCGTCCCAGGAGCGCGCGGGCTGTTAGTGCTCAAGGTCATATTGCACCGCGAACAGCTCCAAAATTTTTTGCTAAAAATGACGAAATGTGCGGTAAATGGGTGTAAAAATACAACAGACAAACATAAAATAGACACTAACATCGCATTTCACAAGTAAGTAATGCGTTTCAACTCATATTTTTATGTAAATATTCACTAAAACAGAAAAATAATTTCGCGGCAACAAGATACGAAAGTGTTGCAAAGTAACGAATTTTTTTTCTCCCCATTTTGCTATTCTGTATCAAAATAATTATATTACGTAAATTTTAGTGGTGCCTGTAATTTAGATTTATTTGCGCATCTTGAACTAATATTTACTTTAATAAACATTAAATGTTTTCGTTAACTCCTGTAAGTGATTGGGACACTTAATTATTTTATAATACTTTTAACGGCTCTGCGTTCATGCTTTATTGAATAATTATTTATTTTAATTTTATTTGAATTGGAGCACATATTGCAACAAATTTACAGTACTTATATATTTGTTTCTACTATAGTGTTGGCACCACCAGTACAACTTTGATAGCTTATTATATGTCTTTCTTTTCGTAACTCAAGCGAAATATTTTATATTAAAATATTTTATTTTCTTAAAAAGGGAGCATTCTTAAGCGATTTTTTAATCTATTTTAACAGTTATTTTCTTTAATGTTTGCTTATGGCATTTTCGGTTTTAGGTTTCGAATATGGCACTTATTTCTAAATCCAAGATGCAGGCGCGATTTTTCGAATAATGGCAAGTTGGGTATCGTTTTCGAGATGTTTGGGAATGTTCAATACAAATATGGCACTCATTTCTAAATCCAAGATGGCAAACACGACAGTTCAAACAAAAGCAATATTCGTAATGAGCACCCCCAAATACCTCGAAAACGATACCCAACTTGCCATTATTTGAAAAAATCGTGCCCGCCATCTTGGATTTACAAATAGTGCCATATTCACATTGAGCATCCCCAAATACCTCGAAAATGATACCCACATAGCATTTTTTTGAAAAAATCGTACCCGCCATCTTGGATGTAGAAATGAGTGCCATATTCGTCATGAGCATCCCCAAGTACCTCGAAAATGATACCCATGTTGCATTTATTTCAAAACTCGTGTCCGCCATCTTGGATTTAGAAATGAGTGCCATATTCGTAATGAGCATCCCCAAATACCTCGAAAAGGATACCCATATAGCATATTTTGAAAAATCGTGTCCGCCATCTTGGATTTACAAATAAGTGCTATATTCGTTTTTCATCGACAAAACCGAGCACATCTGTAGGCACCTGATCGACAATGTCGGGCAAATCTGTAGGCACCTTTAACTTAATGATGAGTTAAGCAAGATACAATTTCCCCACTTTTGAGGGAAATGTTATTCCATGGCATCATTATTTGTATACTTGTGTGCGTGCCGACGAGCGTAGTTACAAGTTGCTTACGCCTACATGAATTTGGTTTTTGCCTCACTTGTGACAGTTCGTTTGATATGAAACTGTCATTCTATGCGTTATTATTCTAAGTATATATATATATATATATATTATAAACTATAAAACAGTTTGGGGTGAGAACATTAAAAATCATAATGTTTTTGTTTGTTGACATCTATTATACATATATCGAATTTGGCTAGAGTAGAATATACGACACGGTAGCTGTGTAAATTCTCGAGTTTGCATGAGAATTCTCCTGAAGTTTTTTGGCTCGTATGTAGTTTTTTAACCGTCTTCAAAAAGAAAGAGAAAAAGAGATCTTCAAAAAAAGAGGTTCTCATTCGATATTTTTCTTGAATGTATGTTACTCGAAAACTCCGGATCAGATGAGATGGAACTCGAATGCGCACTTATTTTAACCATCACAGAATACTAGTGTAGTAATAGTAATTATTTTTTAAGTTTACTGATTGCATTTACGTACCATAGACAAATATTAGTTTTTTTAAAGATACTACATTGGAATTCAAACTACAACAGTCTTATATGATGGAAAAAAACCAACAGTATTCAGACTGAATCATAAAAAAAACTGTTCTAATTTATATAGGCTCGTAAGCGTTTAGTTATAGTCTGTTTTATTTTATAGTTTTGGTTTTTTATTATTTTAATTTTAGTTTATCTTTTTGTTTTGTTGTCCAGCAAACGACCGAAGGCTTGTTACAGATGATATTATTGAGAGCTGTAAAAAAAACTAAAGGAAACTACCACCCATTGGGCCCGGATTGCACCCAAGAAAAACAACAAATATATACATCCAAGCAAAAACTCTACCCATCACCAAAGCCATGTTATTTACAACAAATTATCACGGCAACACCACAACGCTTTCAAAGAATCTACCACTAAGGCACCTCCACGTGATTTGAACATGGCTGACAAGTACAGTATTTTTTATTTGCCCGCAAAAAAACTATCACGGTGTTGATTTTTTGCACTAAATTTCAAATATTGCAAAATTTGGAATATTATTTTCACTTTGTAATAATTAAAGTAACGGTGATATCGAGGGATCCGAGGCAAAAACCAATAAGAGTGTGAATTTTCGTAAAATTAATTATCTAACTCATAAAAATACATTATAATGAATTGGATAACTCATTATAGTGTACTTTTCATACTCTTTTTTATGATGGAATACAATGACGAAATTTATAAATGTAGCACTAAAATGATTTAGTTACAAACCCAATATATTGTCACATTGAAAAATGCATGAAAGACACACTATAATGAAGTGGATAATTCATTATAGTGAGAGCATTTTAACTCACTATAGTGCAGTGCATGAAAAGTAGGTACACTATAATCTCAGATTACAAAACAATGGACTATAATGAATTGGATAACTCATTATAGTGTACTTTCACTCTTTACAGTGTATTGCATGAAATGAAATTATAGTGTACTTTTTACAAAAAAAATATTTCTATTATTGGGTTTTGCCTCTGAGCCTTCGTTGTGACAGTCCGTAATCGTCTAACAGCTTGGCTCAGTTCTCCTCAGGTGAGAGTAGATGGACGATTAATGTTACAATTTCGCTAAATGTTCTTCATGGTAACAAAAATTAACTTTGGTACTATAAAGAGTTTTTTTTTAAATGGGACAGTGTGGGGAAATCCGAAAACATAGAAGATACAAGGAAACTGTCTTATGAACCATTAAGTCATTTTTTGTGAAAACAATTTTGGCATAGTCAATTTTTTGGTCAATCGTGAGTTGTCAATAAAAATGAATATAATTGACTATTTTTTTAATGTTAATAGACTTAGTTTCTTTTAGGTATGATTTATTGTATGGAAGAAAAAATCGGGAGAACAGAAGATAATCAAATTTAATAAAAAGTTTTTTCATAGTCGAATTTCAAAACACGATGTAAATATTTTAAAACAGTCGTTAAAACTTAAAGCATGTTCCCTTGAAAAAGTCTATGATATTTCAATTTCCATTTCCCTTGATATTTAAAAAATCCAGTAGGTATCCAGTAGTTATCACAAAAAATATTTATCAACTTTTTAATTATTATTAACAAATTTAACTACCTATAACTCATGTTCAATTTAAATAGGTTTTCAATTTAAGCAGGTTTTCTTTACCTATGACATTTGAAATAAATATTGAAAATGATAAATGTATAGACACAAATGTTTATTTACAAAGAGCAACCCCTACAGTTTCTTATACATTCTTCTCAGGGGAATCTGTCTTACGAATGAGCGTAATTTGCTTACTTATGCAATAAAGATTATTTCATTTTTAGTTTGAGTGTCGGTTAAATATTTTACGTTTCTAAACACAGTTGAGAGAAGAACTGACTTGCTGTAGACCCAACCCGGAAAACAAAAAAAAGACATTCACACTTAAAAAATCAACACCATAAACCCTTGCGAAATTAAAAAAAAAAACAAACCTCCTATCACAGCGGCAGTGGGAAACTGTAAACGGCCTATAGTTGAAATATCCAAATCGACGTTTGAACGCGCCAATATTAACTCTGCAGTTGTCGTGACTACGACAGCATCTGTCTTCTCTCACATCTGATCCGAGTTCGTTGTATTCCTCAGCCAGTTGTCCAGCTCCGCACCATTTGGTTCCAGGTACTATGAAATTTTCTCTCAATGAGCGTTGAGACCTGTAGTTTTTTAGTCTATGGTTAAGGTTAGGCGGGAATTTTTTATTTTTTAAAAGAAAATAGCACAGCGCGTCTACAGATTATATGAGGTCAATACAATTGTTTATAATTAGTTATATACAAAGTGTAATAAAAAGGTGTGTTCATATTTTGGGATGCGAATGTCGTACCCTTAGAATAATAATGCCACATTTCAAAAGTCATAAAAATAATGCGTGCTACACGAAAGAAATTATGTATATTGCACACCGGCTACAACAGTGTCACAAGTCAAAAATCTTCATTATGTGTTCTGTTATGGGCGCATATGGAAACTTCTCCAGTGTTTTTCGGTGAAAATTTAAAAAAGCATGGCAACATTAATGCCCAGTCTGAAGTATCCTAAAGTTAGTTGATAACAAGTAATAACAATAATAATAATAGTTTATTCAGTACCGCAGCAATATCATAGGTAACAAAATATATACAAATTATGGTTGTACATAAATTGACAAAAAAACAGAGGACAGGCCATCAATCCGTTCCCAAACTAGGGTAACCCTGTAACTTTGGGAGAAGTCAGAAGGCATTTGTTCGAAAACGTAACCCAGATACACTTTTACTTGCCACTTTTGCCATTTTTTGAGTTGTGACGGTGTTGAAGCCGGTGTGCGATTTATGAAAGTTTATAACTCTCCTATTTAAGCGTTAAAATTTATCGACTAATTACGTATGTTCGTGGAATCTTTACACGACTTTTCTGAAAAGTTGTCATTTTGCTAATGTGTCCGTGTAAAAAGACTAAGGCTAGAATTTTTTACGTTCCTAACATGTTTTTTACAATTTTTTTTTTTTCTGACAAAAGACGTTCATATTACGGACATTTTCGAATTATAAAATACAACTACACCTTCTTGTTACACCCTGTATAGTTAGAAAATGTGAGTGTCTTGTAAAGAAATGTTATATAAGTAAAAAGATTGTATTTTAAAGTGATGTTTTAGTAACAAGTAGGAAAAATTTAGTCACTGGTTAATTATTAAAAAAGGACGTAAATAATATATTCACATATGTATATTATATATTTTGTTCTAGGGTTGAATTTTCTATAATTAGAGTTTAAGGATGTATATTAGTACAATAACGGCACTAATTTATAGAATAATGCTAATTAGAAACGGCGGAAAAGGTCGACCTTTGCGTACGTATCTCAACAAGAGTACTGATAGTGTATGAAAAGACTGGTGCGAGCTGAGGAAGTAAAAAAGGTGTGTCACTCAGCAAGTGGATCGTAATTTGTCTATTGGGAGATAGGCATGATAATCGAAGCGCAGCGAGTGAAATTTTCTTTGTATCCACACATTGTTCAGTCGGTTATTTGAAATATTGACGACGTCACCGAATTGAGCAAAAAGTACCAGAAACGGGGCTTCAAGCTTTATTTGAAAAATAATTTATTAACCATAACTGCAGGTACTACGTGTAAATTGCAAAAATTATAAAGTGTAACTATCAGATAGGTCCACAGGTCATCGTTCCCAGATGGACTGAAATCCTAGTACCTAATCCCATCGGTTCTATCGTATCGATAGAACCGTTATTTCTCACACATAAGCAAAATTCGGTTGAGGTAGTCGTAATTTGAGGAAAAAATCTTAAACCGCGATACAGAAATTAAGTAAAGAGGGTTTATGCCATCTAATGAATTTTCGGGGAACTATATGAAGAAATAAGGCTCAATTTGTATTGCGGTGGAACGGAATGGAAGCGAATTTTTGTAACAAATTATACATGATAAATGCTCGCACATGCTCGAGAATGCTTGCGCATTTCGTGGAAGACTTTGGCTCGTATCTAGTTTGTACGTTACACAATGGACCATAAAGTTCATTATGCAATGTATAATGTGTAACTTATTGAAATTTATGGCATAAAATAGGTTTGTTACAAAACTAGTATAAAAATATACTTCCACAGATCACGATGAAGCCCAAATTTTAAATTTCGATCTATGACGAAGGAAAAAATATTAAATTGTAAAATTTTGTGCGGACTAATGACTAGAAAAGCTGCTGCGCTTCGATAGAGAATTGATATTCAGCCTAAATAATGTGCTTAAGTTTCTTCAATACGGTATAAATACGATAGTTAACGAAAAGTAAGACCACATCTCCTTGATGATGAAATTTTGCATAATACAAGCTGCTTAATAAACATGGTATCGATAGGTAGATATAGAGCAGTGAAAATGAAAAATAAACAAACTCTAAATATATCTTTTTGGTGGTAAAGCGAACGTGTAGGGTATTTGATTAAATATTCTTTTAGATTCAATCAACTTGCATGGATTTTTTAAAATTCATTTTACGAAATTGTTGCAGGAATTAAATACAGATGAACCGCTATATGTAACAGTTACATGGCTTTGTAGAATAGTGGACTATCTCAAAAGTATCTAATTCATCAGGAAGGTGGCTCAAAGAAGCTGAGAAGCGTCTGTCGTTAAAATTGACGAATCTCAGACCATCTCAATTATTGCAATCAACGAAAAGTATGGAACCCAATCACAACAAAATTAGACTTTTCTGAATAAATCTCAGTAATAAACAAAAAAAAATTTTTAATTCGGCGACTATTTCTATTCCGACTATTATCACAAGTTCTTAAGTTTTTGCGACTGCCACACATAGGAAACGAAACAATTTTTTCTGACTTTTACGTATATTTCTATTTTTCAAACAAACCAACGTTTCCGGTCCTTTCAAGTCCCATAGTCACGACTGCGACTGCGCTGATTTTAATCATCAACCGGTTACGTTCAATATGAATGCATAATCATTATCTTCTGAACGTAGTTGCAAAATTAATTTTTAATTTACCGAAGTTATATTCAGATAGGAAAAACAATTGTTTCCTTTCAATGGTTGTATTTTTTAAGTTATGTCTCGCAAAAAAAACGTCTTAAAATCTACACTTTTTGGAAAATTATCAAATACCCTTGTAAAGTGAATGTAAAATACAGGTGATATATATGGATTGTAGTTTGAAGGTCACATAAAACCATGAAAAAGATGAAATGGCGCATCCGTTGTAGGTGTATAAAAGTGGTCGAATTGTAAATAAAGTTATTATAATATGATAACATAAATATTCGTGTTCGTGGTGGTTGTTAGACACAATTTTTTACAGGAATATAGTGTCAATTCTTCACTTTTGTTGCCAAAATAAAAAAAGAACATAAAATAAGTACTGGCGGGATTGGCAAAAACAAATTTTAAAAGTGTTTCGTTTTTCAAAATTATAATACAATTCTAAAAGGTCACATATTATATCTTTTAGTTTAGATTTAGCGTCGGAATTGACACTGGTGCTGAAAAGAGGTCATTCCATGTATGGCTGTCGTAGATATAGACAATTGTTTGAAGTCATTTTTTATACTATTACTATTTAAGTTAGACCGCGTCATAGATAGGGTGGTGAGGTTGAATGATTCGCTTCGTCCTGTTACTTTGCTGGCATCGTCAAGTTGATCGTATTTATCATTTATTAGTCCAATTATATTACTCGTCTAATACAATGATAATCTCAGGGTAATTTATATTTAATTTTAGCTTCGAATGATTAAATTCTGACGCATCGCACTGCTATTACAATAGTGTTATAACTAATTTGATTACCTACACGTCATTATAACTGCCTTTAAAATATTGTAAGACACATGTAAAAGATATCTACTTAACTCAAAATGAGACACTCTTTATATGAGCTAATTCTGGTCAAAATAGTCCTAATTCAAAAACATAAAATGTTTTTTTCTCTTTTATTTTTAAATATATTTGGCAAGTAGGAAATTGTTTGTAATATACTATAACCTATGCATACATTTTAATTATTTTTCACGAGAACAATGAGTAATTCGTTTTTCGTCGATTCTTAGAAAATACACTTTTAGAGTTAATACACTATTGTATTAATAGTGCGACATCCTTACTATCATTATCATCCATTTACACGTCTCACGTCCCACAGCATGGATGGTTGTCCTTTTATGCGAGGGTTTAGACCATAATGGCCACGGCAACCAAATGCGCGTTGAGGTTTACTTTAAAAAAAGGAAAGCCTGAGTTATCATCAAACACCCGGACATATAAATGAGTTGATGATGATGCCTAGGCTTTCCTTTTGCCACTGCTGAGCACGGGTCTCCTCCCGGGCGAGGGTTTAGGTCATAGTCCGCCACTCTGACCCAATGCTGGTTGTGGACATGACAGGTTTTTTCGAGGGTTGCAAACCTTCTTCTACGTGCAGGTTTCACCACGATGTTTTCCTTCACCGAGAAGCTCATGGTAAATTTCAAATTATATTTTGCTCATAAATTCCGAGAAACTCAGAGGTGCGAGCCCGCATTCGAACTCACGACCCTCTGCTTGAGAGGAGGTAGGTCAAACCATTAGGCTGCCACGGCTTATTAATACTTAATTTTTTAAAGTAATAAATTGATTAAGTATGTAGCTTCAAGCTAAAATTAAATCAGTGCATTGAATAACAACAAAAGAACATTGAACTATATTAAACTGAGTTTGTGTTAGTGCGAATCGACACCATTGATGACGTAGTAACAAGGCAAATCGGAAACATTTCTCCCGCCCCCTCACCGTCATTTAAGACGCGGACTTGCTTAAGGTAGTCAGTATTTCGTGCAAATCGAAAAGAGTCCTTACAACAAAGTCTATAAAGTTTATTTAAGTTTTTTCCTCGATGTTTGTATTAATAAATTATAACAAACTAATGGAGTATTTTTACAAAAAACAAAAGAATATTATGGTAGTAAAACATCATTATAATCAATATTATAGTTTATAAAGCGACATCTCTTGCCAACCCCTGGTAACTATATAGATACCTTTCATAGATTTCTCACCAGTGGCGCTACGGCAAAAATCCGTTAAAAATCAAAACATACCAGTAGAGCTCCTGGTGAAAGAGTTCGTCCAGGGAAGTACTGCTACCTTAGCTATGTCTACCGCCAAGCAGTAATGTGAGCATTACTGCGTTCCGGTTTTGAAGGGTAAGGGTGCTGGTGAAATTACCTTTACTATAATGTCTGTTTCACTATAGGTTTAAAACTCATAAATGGCAATTTTTGAATATCAACCGGAACCCTATAGTAGAAGCATATACTTGGATTATACGTATATGGACCTTTTAAAAGAATTTGTGACTTTGTGAACACGATCGTCAAAAACATCTAGTTTATTTTTATTCCTCGTATTAATGTTACGTTTGCCACTTATTTTTCCATAAAAATTGATATTGTTCTTAACATAAATTACATTTTCAAAAATGTACCAGAGACCGGGCTTTAAGCGTTTTGTTAACACCGGGCTAAAATCGGATTACAACCCATTAATGTCCAAAATAGAAGGCAAAAACTATTTACAGCTAAATATTTATTATTCTTAAATCAAGTTTTGTTCAAATTTAATGATATTATTACAAAATGTTTATTGCTTTCTGATTCTTTCCGATTTGATTTGCCTTTCTGTTGTATTGAACAGAAAGACAATTCTCACGAATTTCACTACGTGCTCGTTGCCGATCCTTGTTTTGTGATTGGTGAGTATTATTATTATATAGTATAAGTGAAGAAAAAACTTTCATAAGTGTGTTAATTTTTTACAAATAATTAAATTTAATTTTTTTGTTAATTTGTTGTTTATTTATTACATTGAGTGGAATGACCTAGGCCGGATTATAGACTTTTTTGTAACGGACTCATTAAAATATCGACTGCACGGATAGTATATACAAAATGTTGAAGAATTAGTTTATAATGACTTCAATAGAAAATAGATTATAGCCAGTACGTGCTAAGAAAATGATCATGCAAAATCAATTTTTTTTTTAAACAAAATACTCAGTTTTGTATATACAAAGGCTTTATTTACATCGTTTTAATGGTTGCCAGTTTGAAATATAAGTAACATGATTAGGGAGTTTTGTCAGTTTATATCGATTCCTCCTATGTTAAGCCACAAAAATAGATATATTATTTTCAATCTCTTTCTTTTTGTGTAGGCCTATTGTACTCAGAAGTGAGGCCGGGAAGCAAAGGATTGCAGGACAGGTATGAGTTACACATTGTATTGTACGAGTCAGGCAATCCACGTTTACGCCGAGGCATATATAATGCTTTTCTCAAACAATGCCAGGGAATAAAGACTAAAGAATGAAGGAGAATGTATAATAGAAAAAGTAAAAATAATTAGTTAATTACAAATTTTGCTTCTTGTTTTAAATTAAGTGGAATAGCAATCCGTTATTGTGATTTCGTTCTTCTTACTAGAACTTATTATTGCCAAAAAAATATAAACAATGCAAAAAAGTTGAAATAACAAAAAGGAAAGTTCAAACATTCAAAGTATTTTCGATTATTTTACCAGCTTTTTATATGGTGCTGGTGTATTCGTGCACAACATTTAGTTATGTTTGCCACCTTTTTTACAACCTAGGTAGGCAAAGTTTCTATCATACAGCCTCTTCATATATGCAATTATGCGTCTTAATTAAACGTAAACTAAGTAGGTAACACTGTATGACTGTTTTTGTTTAGCCTGTTTAAAAGGTTCTTTCTTAGTAAATTTATATAAAAGTTTAGAGCAGGCCTAGATACACTATAATGCGAACATTTCCGAGCACGTTTGAGAAAAACATTAAGTATGTTTCAAATTTAATTGCAATAGCTACCTCGTGTAGAACTACAGAAAGAAGAACTTCTATAAAGTTGAATTTGAACTTACTATTCTTTACGTAGAAGGAATCGATATAATATAGTTATTGTAAAACAGAATAAATAAAGCTCAAAAAGTACTATAGCTCGATGTGCCAAATTTTTAATTAATTTATACAAGGGCAGTCCAGTTTGTTTCATAGGCCTCATTAATGCTGTCATAAGCCTTTGCAAAACAAAATTTCTCATTTACAAAAAAATCATTAAGAAAATAATACCTTGCCAAAGAGCTTTCTCCAACCCTATTTTTATGCTCAACCATATATTTTAACTCCTCATGCCTTTGTAGGCATTCCATTTTCAATTTGTCATAATCCAACCAGCCAGCCACATCGGTTGGCATCTCGTCACTACTTTTCAAAATTCGAAATGTCACATTTCCAAAATGGTGGATGAACTTTTCTTCCTCTTTGGAAATCTTGTCTTCATCCGTCAATTTATACAATTGTTCATCCAACGCCAGTTTTAATTCTTTTCTTAACGTTTTCAAAAAGTTTTTTGTTGTTTTGCCGTGCGGGATGAATTCACAGTCTTGTATGTCGCCATTTTGTGCGTAAATGACTTGCACAAGATGGCGGCCGTCGGTGAGTTGACGAAGTTTTATACCGCTTCTGAAACAAAAAGAGAAAGAGCAGATAAATTTATTGAATTTGTAAATCATAACTAATTAACATAATATATTTACTTTTTTGAATTTAAAATGTCTATTTAATAAGATTCTGAAATTGTTTTCACACTTATGATTTGTCTAAAACTAACTGTACCCAGCAGTCGTTGCTCTTTAAAGCTTATTTTCAGTCTTTTTATTGTCAATTTGTTTAGTAGTACCCCGGATTTAATTCCATTGCTTTGGTATTCATACCAGGTAATTGGTATGATTCTTTGAAACCATAGAACGATAAATACAGTAGAAGTGCTTAGTGGTCGTGACGTGCCACGAGTGCCAACAGTACGCGGAGTTCCACTTGCTTGAGCCCAATCCGCCATTTTCGCTGTGTACTTTATGGTCGTGTTAATTATCTCACGCAAAACCTCGCAAATCATGCAAATGTGCCATATTTTGCTACTTTGGAATGCAAAATCGATAGTCGCACCTATAATGTTATCCATGGTGGTGTTTCAAATCGGCGTTGTATGTCACATTACACCGTATCTATTTGAACATTAGTAGCAGCAGAGTTCCTTGTGAAAGAGTCCGTCCAGGGATTTATTTTTTATAATATCAAGTGATGGGACGAACAAGTCGTGCGCCTGATGGTAAGTAACACGCCTGTCCATAACAGCTGCAGTGCCACTCAGAGTGTTACGGACGGCCGTACGCGCCTGGCCGGTCAGAGCTAGAGTTCAGAGGAAAATGATTAATTCAAGAGCTCTGATTGGCCGAGTGGCGTAGCGACCCATTGATAGGACCGGTACGATGTGGGAGACACCGTACTTGTATAAATATAAGCAATAATTGTCATTCGAATCAATCACTTTGCAATCACTTCAATCACCAGCAATCACTCTCACTTGTTACAATTGTCTTGTTTTGTAAGTCAGATCGACATTTATATGAATATACAGTCCACTTCAGATTAAAGGAAGTTTCATTGATATCGAAGGAAGATTAAAGCAGGGCAGTTCAGTTTGGCTGACTCCAACACAGAGGTTTAAATTACAAAGATCTGAGTGGCACTGCCACTGCGCCCGACACCCTAAGACATAAGTTGGCAATCCCATGTGCCTGTAATTTCACCAGGACCTTTATCCTTCCAAACTGGAAAGTAGTAATGCTCACATTACTGCTTGGCGGCAAAAATAGGTGGCAGTACTTCTCTGGACGAACACTTTCACAAGAAGCTCTACTACTACTAAATATTATGATGTTGAAGCAAATAATCGTCTGAATTTTACTTGTAAAATGAAAACTCATCTTCATGGTGAATTAATTTGTGGTAAGAGTACTAACTCAACATCTGTCGAACTTCATGGAGGAGGTCTTTAGGCTGAAGGGTGTCATGTTTCGGCGTTTCCGAGGACGGCTATCGGACAAGCACGTTGCGTCACAAGTCGCAGTCCATACGTGTAAATAAATATAGTAGATTGTACAACAATTGCATAAAACGCGTCATTTTACCCGAGGGTAAAATGGGTTTTATGAACGAGTTATACACTCTGCTTTTTACTTCGATGGCGAGGAAATTAAACAGCAATATTACAAATAAACGGTAACACAACTATTGCCAAGGACAAATATGAACTTTCCGCCAATGTACAACTTTTTTTTCTACACGTGACTCAGGTTGGACTACATAATGCTCAGTTATATTTTACAAGCTTTTATTTTTTATGCATTTCTATTTCTTATAACTTATTAGAATTACTATTGCCTACTTTTTAATTTTGTAAAATAGCACGGATTAAAAAAAAAAAGTAAAACTTTATTTTATAAAGTTCTAGTGTTCGTGGCTGTTGGCGCAGGAGTCATTGCCTCGGTCTTAAACGACGATTTTATTTTATGCACTAGAGCATAAAATGCTATTTTATGCAGCTTGCACCCAGCATAAATATGAACTTTAAGAGCATGACAAGTGAAAAATGTCTATGAGGTATGTGTTTATGGGTCTTTTGTAAAAAAAAAGCTGCACTTAATTAACAATACTTTGTCCTATATGAAATATGTATACTAACATAGAAATAAGTAAAATACTAACAAACTGTGTATGTAGTTGCCTGAGTAAAAAACAAATTAATAAAAAAAAAATTAAGACTATCTTTTCTTTAGAAAAGTGTTGCGGCTGTTCTAAAGAAAAGATTCCCTCATTCAGTTTTTTTTTAATTCTTGATACTTTTTACGTAGATCGAGAGATACGTTGAGTACGTAGATCTTAAATGTCAATACCTAGGTCCAACATTGTAGAGCTTGCACATAAAAGCGCCCCTAAGTTTACCAATGTAAGCCGATTAAACGAAAAGAAGTAGATACTTATTAATCGTAAAATAGAGGAGTCGGGTAGGTAATTAAAAAAAAAATTTTGGTGAATAATTTTTCTTAATATCAAGTCGCAGGATGCCAAGTCGCGTCGTGGTGAATGTTCACTGATCCCACGGCGCCGACTCAATCGGCGAGAGCGAAACCCGGGGGGGTTTTAGTGGGGTAGGCCTTCCAGTGTGGAGGGAGAGTCCCCACATAACCCCTGAGTCTCCCTGGGCTCAGGGGTATCCATAAAGATTTCCCCCCCGTCAAAAAAAAAAAAAAAAGGATGCCAAGTCGTACGCCTTATGATAAACTACACGCCTGTCCATAACAAATGTATTGCCACTCAGAACTTTAAGTCGCAAAAATTTGACGGGTCTTGCCACAGCGCTCGTCACTCTGAGACATAAGTTGATAAGTCACGTGTAGCCAAGCCAAGCGCGCGGGTGACTGCATCCCGGGCGGTTCTACTAGTACCCCGCAGACGCCGCGGCTCCCACGAGTGATCGTCCCCGCTATGGGCGGAAAACGCGTCGTGAAATGTGCTACAAAATTTTACATACATCAAATTTTACAACAGCGCTATCGTTTTGTTAACTCCAATAGTATATGTCATCTCATATGTCTTGAATTGTTAATCCTACAGGTATGAGCCTTCAGCTCGACCTTTTTTCCGGTGGCGCAGTCAAGGCCATCAGCGGCCAACTGCAAAATGTCTTAAAAAAAAAGAATTGTTAATGCTTACTACTAGACATGGGGAATAGCGTTACATTTCTATCGCCGTGACTGTCGTTCCGGTTCCAAAAAAAATCACAGTGATAAATCATCGTGATTTTGTCACGACTGTTACTTCCGTGACCTTGTCACCCCTATAACTTACATCACGACATACGGTTTTAGCCAGCGGCTTCTTTCCAATACTTATAGCCGTTTTTTATAGAATGATTTAAGTTTTTACTCCCTTTGTAATAAGTTTCAATTCCATTCAAAAAGTTGATTTTGTATTTAATGTAATTTTGTTTGTTACTTATTTAATGCGAATCTTTGGATTGTTAAAAATATCAATAAAGTGTAAGTATATTTCATTCATTTTATTATTATTATACATAAATATAAAATACCAACTCTTCCTATAATATAACAAATATACAAAAATATTTTACTTTGTTCATAAATAGGTTTATAATAACTGCTGCAGATTTGCTTTGATTTGATGATAAGCACCTACGACCCTTGTGAGTGAGCAAAGAAAGTGATCCTATTTCATTCACTCTCATCGCCGAAATGGCCCGATTTGAAGAGAACTACAACGAGTGGCGCGCTCAGTCACCGCGGCACGGAGATCGCGCCTTGTATCAAATACCTATGTCGTGATGTAAGTGACGGGGATAGCTATTGGAACGGAGGAACACCTATGTGCCTTTGGAACGTCGTTCCTTCGGAACGAGTCACGGTGGTACTGTTTGACGGCGGATCATCGTGGTTTTTTCATTGTGACGTTATTTATCACCCACCTCTACTTACTACCACTACAGCATTGATACGGCACTTAAGTTGTTGAGACATTTCGGTGCTATTACTGCTACAGACATACTGTTGAGTAAATTTACCCTTTTTGATAATACATGCCTTTTAAGTCTGCGTCTAATTCGTCGTTTTACGTACCCCCTCCGCCAACCAGCGCTACAGTTTTTAATTTTTTTATACATTCTTCTTCTTCTATTTTGCTTGTGATGTTGTGTCGCTGATTATGTTATTTTAGTTTTTATTAATGGAACTCTAGGTCTGTATGTGTATCAATTTTGGTTTATTACCTGTCTGTTGATTGTTTGTTTCGTTTGGTGCTGGATGAGCTTTATAAAAGCATAGTGACAATTTTGTCCCAAGCGTCAGCTGTGGCCAGTGGTGAAACTAAAGTACGTAAAAAGCGGGTGGTTGTCGGGTGGAATAAGCATGTGCGTAGTGCGCATGAACAGGCTCGACTTAAATATCAGACATGGGTTCAATATAACAAACCCAAAACTGGTCAAGTTTGGAATGAAATGCGTGAAGGTTAAAGAATCTTCCGAAGTAGGCTTAAGTGGTGTCAGAAAAATGAAGACCAGATCAAAATGGACATTATAGCGGAGCACAGAGCCTCCAAGAACTTCGCCCAGTTTTGGAAAATAACCAATAATCTGAACATTAAGTCGAGTTTGCCTACTGCGGTGTCGGGACGTAGTACCGAGAGGGACATAGCTAACATGTTTATGGAAAAGTTTCAAGTTTCTTCCCCGGTGCCTCAACCACGTGGAGTGCTTTATGCTGGGACTGGGAGTGGTCAGGAGATATTACGTTTTTCTTCTAAGCAGGTGGCTGCAGTAATAAGAAAAATGTCAAGAGGTAAATCTCCAGGTCACGACGCTCTCAGCATTGAGCACTTGAAATATGCAGGAGAACATCTTCCCGGAGTGTTGGCTATGTTCTTCTCGCTATGTATGAGACACTCGTATTTGCCGCCGGAAATGCTTAAAACCATAGTAGTACTGGTACTGAAAAATAGAACTGGTGATATAGCTAATCACGCTAACTACCGTCCTATATCACTGGCCACAGTTGTTGCAAAAGTTTTGGACGGTCTGCTGTACAATGAATTAGACAAATATTTAGATC